CACCTTCATACCTCATGCCCTCTCGTCCCACCTTCATCCCTCATGCCATCTCGTCCCACCTTCATCCCTCATGCCCTCTCGTCCCACCTTCATCCCTCATGCCCTCTCGTCCCACCTTCATCCCTCATGCCCTCTCGTCCCACCTTCATCCCTCATGCCCTCTCGTCCCACCTTCATCCCTCATGTCCTCTCGTCCCACCTTCATCCCTCATGCCATCTCGTCCCACCTTCATCCCTCATGCCCTCTCGTCCCACCTTCATACCTCATGCCCTCTCGTCCCACCTTCATACCTCATGCCCTCTCGTCCCACCTTCATACCTCATGCCCTCTCGTCCCACCTTCATCCCTCATGCCCTCTCGTCCCACCTTCATCCCTCATGCCCTCTCGTCCCACCTTCATCCCTCATGCCCTCTCGTCCCACCTTCATCCCTCATGCCCTCTCGTCCCACCTTCATCCCTCATGCCCTCTCGTCCCACCTTCATCCCTCATGCCCTCTCGTCCCACCTTCATCCCTCATGCCCTCTTGTCCCACCTTCATCCCTCATGCCCTCTCGTCCCACCTTCATCCCTCATGCCCTCTCGTCCCACCTTCATCCCTCATGCCCTCTCGTCCCACCTTCATCCCTCATGCCCTCTCGTCCCACCTTCATCCCTCATGCCCTCTCGTCCCACCTTCATACCTCATGCCCTCTCGTCCCACCTTCATCCCTCATGCCCTCTCGTCCCACCTTCATCCCTCATGCCCTCTCGTCCCACCTTCATCCCTCATGCCCTCTCGTCCCACCTTCATCCCTCATCGTCCCACCTTCATACCTCATGCCCTCTCGTCCCACCTTCATCCCTCATGCCCTCTCGTCCCACCTTCATCCCTCATGCCCTCTCGTCCCACCTTCATACCTCATGCCCTCTCGTCCCACCTTCATCCCTCATGCCCTCTCGTCCCACCTTCATCCCTCATGCCCTCTCGTCCCACCTTCATACCTCATGCCCTCTCGTCCCACCTTCATCCCTCATGCCCTCTCGTCCCACCTTCATCCCTCATGCCCTCTTTTCCCACCTTCATCCCTCATGCCCTCTCGTCCCACCTTCATCCCTCATGCCCTCTCGTCCCACCTTCATCCCTCATGCCCTCTCGTCCCACCTTCATCCCTCATGCCCTCTCGTCCCACCTTCATCCCTCATGCCCTCTCGTCCCACCTTCATCCCTCATGCCCTCTCGTCCCACCTTCATCCCTCATGCCCTCTCGTCCCACCTTCATCCTCATGCCCTCTCGTCCCACCTTCATCCCTCATGCCCTCTCGTCCCACCTTCATCCCTCATGCCCTCTCGTCCCACCTTCATCCCTCATGCCCTCTCGTCCCACCTTCATCCCTCATGCCCTCGTCCCACCTTCATCCCTCATGCCCTCTCGTCCCACCTTCATCCCTCATGCCCTCTCGTCCCACCTTCATCCCTCATGCCCTCTCGTCCCACCTTCATCCCTCATGCCCTCTCGTCCCACCTTCATCCCTCATGCCCTCTCGTCCCACCTTCATCCCTCATGCCCTCTCGTCCCACCTTCATCCCTCATGCCCTCTCGTCCCACCTTCATCCCTCATGCCCTCTCGTCCCACCTTCATCCCTCATGCCCTCTCGTCCCACCTTCATACCTCATGCCCTCTCGTCCCACCTTCATCCCTCATGCCCTCTCGTCCCACCTTCATCCCTCATGCCATCTCGTCCCACCTTCATCCCTCATGCCCTCTCGTCCCACCTTCATCCCTCATGCCCTCTCGTCCCACCTTCATCCCTCATGCCCTCTCGTCCCACCTTCATCCCTCATGCCCTCTCGTCCCACCTTCATCCCTCATGCCCTCTCGTCCCACCTTCATCCCTCATGCCCTCTCGTCCCACCTTCATCCCTCATGCCCTCTCGTCCCACCTTCATCCCTCATGCCCTCTCGTCCCACCTTCATCCCTCATGCCCTCTCGTCCCACCTTCATCCCTCATGCCCTCTCGTCCCACCTTCATACCTCATGCCCTCTCGTCCCACCTTCATCCCTCATGCCCTCTCGTCCCACCTTCATCCCTCATGCCCTCTCGTCCCACCTTCATCCCTCATGCCCTCTCGTCCCACCTTCATCCCTCATCGTCCCACCTTCATACCTCATGCCCTCTCGTCCCACCTTCATCCCTCATGCCCTCTCGTCCCACCTTCATCCCTCATGCCCTCTCGTCCCACCTTCATACCTCATGCCCTCTCGTCCCACCTTCATCCCTCATGCCCTCTCGTCCCACCTTCATCCCTCATGCCCTCTCGTCCCACCTTCATCCCTCATGCCCTCTCGTCCCACCTTCATACCTCATGCCCTCTCGTCCCACCTTCATCCCTCATGCCCTCTCGTCCCACCTTCATCCCTCATGCCCTCTCGTCCCACCTTCATCCCTCATGCCCTCTCGTCCCACCTTCATACCTCATGCCCTCTCGTCCCACCTTCATCCCTCATGCCCTCTCGTCCCACCTTCATCCCTCATGCCCTCTCGTCCCACCTTCATCCCTCATGCCCTCTCGTCCCACCTTCATCCCTCATGCCCTCTCGTCCCACCTTCATACCTCATGCCCTCTCGTCCCACCTTCATCCCTCATGCCCTCTCGTCCCACCTTCATCCCTCATGCCCTCTCGTCCCACCTTCATCCCTCATGCCCTCTCGTCCCACCTTCATCCCTCATGCCCTCTCGTCCCACCTTCATCCCTCATGCCCTCTCGTCCCACCTTCATCCCTCATGCCCTCTCGTCCCACCTTCATCCCTCATGCCCTCTCGTCCCACCTTCATCCCTCATGCCCTCTCGTCCCACCTTCATCCCTCATGCCCTCTCGTCCCACCTTCATCCCTCATGCCCTCTCGTCCCACCTTCATCCCTCATGCCCTCTCGTCCCACCTTCATCCCTCATGCCCTCTCGTCCCACCTTCATCCCTCATGCCCTCTCGTCCCACCTTCATCCCTCATGCCCTCTCGTCCCACCTTCATACCTCATGCCCTCTCGTCCCACCTTCATCCCTCATGCCCTCTCGTCCCACCTTCATCCCTCATGCCCTCTCGTCCCACCTTCATACCTCATGCCCTCTCGTCCCACCTTCATCCCTCATGCCCTCTCGTCCCACCTTCATCCTCATGCCCTCTCGTCCCACCTTCATCCCTCATGCCCTCTCGTCCCACCTTCATCCCTCATGCCCTCTCGTCCCACCTTCATCCCTCATGCCCTCTCGTCCCACCTTCATCCCTCATGCCCTCTCGTCCCACCTTCATCCCTCATGCCCTCTCGTCCCACCTTCATCCCTCATGCCCTCTCGTCCCACCTTCATCCCTCATGCCCTCTCGTCCCACCTTCATCCCTCATGCCCTCTCGTCCCACCTTCATCCCTCATGCCCTCTCGTCCCACCTTCATCCCTCATGCCCTCTCGTCCCACCTTCATCCCTCATGCCCTCTCGTCCCACCTTCATCCCTCATGCCCTCTCGTCCCACCTTCATACCTCATGCCCTCTCGTCCCACCTTCATCCCTCATGCCCTCTCGTCCCACCTTCATCCCTCATGCCCTCTCGTCCCACCTTCATCCCTCATGCCCTCTCGTCCCACCTTCATCCCTCATGCCCTCTCGTCCCACCTTCATCCCTCATGCCCTCTCGTCCCACCTTCATCCCTCATGCCCTCTCGTCCCACCTTCATCCCTCATGCCCTCTCGTCCCACCTTCATCCCTCATGCCCTCTCGTCCCACCTTCATCCCTCATGCCCTCTCGTCCCACCTTCATCCCTCATGCCCTCTCGTCCCACCTTCATCCCTCATGCCCTCTCGTCCCACCTTCATCCCTCATGCCCTCTCGTCCCACCTTCATCCCTCATGCCCTCTCGTCCCACCTTCATCCCTCATGCCCTCTCGTCCCACCTTCATCCCTCATGCCCTCTCGTCCCACCTTCATCCCTCATGCCCTCTCGTCCCACCTTCATCCCTCATGCCCTCTCGTCCCACCTTCATCCCTCATGCCCTCTCGTCCCACCTTCATCCCTCATGCCCTCTCGTCCCACCTTCATCCCTCATGCCCTCTCGTCCCACCTTCATCCCTCATGCCCTCTCGTCCCACCTTCATCCCTCATGCCCTCTCGTCCCACCTTCATCCCTCATGCCCTCTCGTCCCACCTTCATCCCTCATGCCCTCTCGTCCCACCTTCATCCCTCATGCCCTCTCGTCCCACCTTCATCCCTCATGCCCTCTCGTCCCACCTTCATCCCTCATGCCCTCTCGTCCCACCTTCATCCCTCATGCCCTCTCGTCCCACCTTCATCCCTCATGCCCTCTCGTCCCACCTTCATCCCTCATGCCCTCTCGTCCCACCTTCATCCCTCATGCCCTCTCGTCCCACCTTCATCCCTCATGCCCTCTCGTCCCACCTTCATCCCTCATGCCCTCTCGTCCCACCTTCATCCCTCATGCCCTCTCGTCCCACCTTCATCCCTCATGCCCTCTCGTCCCACCTTCATCCCTCATGCCCTCTCGTCCCACCTTCATCCCTCATGCCCTCTCGTCCCACCTTCATCCCTCATGCCCTCTCGTCCCACCTTCATCCCTCATGCCCTCTCGTCCCACCTTCATCCCTCATGCCCTCTCGTCCCACCTTCATCCCTCATGCCCTCTCGTCCCACCTTCATCCCTCATGCCCTCTCGTCCCACCTTCATCCCTCATGCCCTCTCGTCCCACCTTCATCCCTCATGCCCTCTCGTCCCACCTTCATCCCTCATGCCCTCTCGTCCCACCTTCATCCCTCATGCCCTCTCGTCCCACCTTCATCCCTCATGCCCTCTCGTCCCACCTTCATCCTCATGCCCTCTCGTCCCACCTTCATCCCTCATGCCCTCTCGTCCCACCTTCATCCCTCATGCCCTCTCGTCCCACCTTCATCCCTCATGCCCTCTCGTCCCACCTTCATCCCTCATCGTCCCACCTTCATCCCTCATGCCCTCTCGTCCCACCTTCATCCCTCATGCCCTCTCGTCCCACCTTCATCCCTCATGCCCTCTCGTCCCACCTTCATCCCTCATGCCCTCTCGTCCCACCTTCATCCCTCATGCCCTCTCGTCCCACCTTCATCCCTCATGCCCTCTCGTCCCACCTTCATCCCTCATGCCCTCTCGTCCCACCTTCATCCCTCATGCCCTCTCGTCCCACCTTCATCCCTCATGCCCTCTCGTCCCACCTTCATCCCTCATGCCCTCTCGTCCCACCTTCATCCCTCATGCCCTCTCGTCCCACCTTCATCCCTCATGCCCTCTCGTCCCACCTTCATCCCTCATGCCCTCTCGTCCCACCTTCATCCCTCATGCCCTCTCGTCCCACCTTCATCCCTCATGCCCTCTCGTCCCACCTTCATCCCTCATGCCCTCTCGTCCCACCTTCATCCCTCATGCCCTCTCGTCCCACCTTCATCCCTCATGCCCTCTCGTCCCACCTTCATCCCTCATGCCCTCTCGTCCCACCTTCATCCTCATGCCCTCTCGTCCCACCTTCATCCCTCATGCCCTCTCGTCCCACCTTCATCCCTCATGCCCTCTCGTCCCACCTTCATCCCTCATGCCCTCTCGTCCCACCTTCATCCCTCATGCCCTCTCGTCCCACCTTCATCCCTCATGCCCTCTCGTCCCACCTTCATCCCTCATGCCCTCTCGTCCCACCTTCATCCCTCATGCCCTCTCGTCCCACCTTCATCCCTCATGCCCTCTCGTCCCACCTTCATCCCTCATGCCCTCTCGTCCCACCTTCATCCCTCATGCCCTCTCGTCCCACCTTCATCCCTCATGCCCTCTCGTCCCACCTTCATCCCTCATGCCCTCTCGTCCCACCTTCATCCCTCATGCCCTCTCGTCCCACCTTCATCCCTCATGCCCTCTCGTCCCACCTTCATCCCTCATGCCCTCTCGTCCCACCTTCATCCCTCATGCCCTCTCGTCCCACCTTCATCCCTCATGCCCTCTCGTCCCACCTTCATCCCTCATGCCCTCTCGTCCCACCTTCATCCCTCATGCCCTCTCGTCCCACCTTCATCCCTCATGCCCTCTCGTCCCACCTTCATCCCTCATGCCCTCTCGTCCCACCTTCATCCCTCATGCCCTCTCGTCCCACCTTCATCCCTCATGCCCTCTCGTCCCACCTTCATCCCTCATGCCCTCTCGTCCCACCTTCATCCCTCATGCCCTCTCGTCCCACCTTCATCCCTCATGCCCTCTCGTCCCACCTTCATCCCTCATGCCCTCTCGTCCCACCTTCATCCCTCATGCCCTCTCGTCCCACCTTCATCCCTCATGCCCTCTCGTCCCACCTTCATCCCTCATGCCCTCTCGTCCCACCTTCATCCCTCATGCCCTCTCGTCCCACCTTCATCCCTCATGCCCTCTCGTCCCACCTTCATCCCTCATGCCCTCTCGTCCCACCTTCATCCCTCATGCCCTCTCGTCCCACCTTCATCCCTCATGCCCTCTCGTCCCACCTTCATCCCTCATGCCCTCTCGTCCCACCTTCATCCCTCATGCCCTCTCGTCCCACCTTCATCCCTCATGCCCTCTCGTCCCACCTTCATCCCTCATGCCCTCTCGTCCCACCTTCATCCCTCATGCCCTCTCGTCCCACCTTCATCCCTCATGCCCTCTCGTCCCACCTTCATCCCTCATGCCCTCTCGTCCCACCTTCATCCCTCATGCCCTCTCGTCCCACCTTCATCCCTCATGCCCTCTCGTCCCACCTTCATCCCTCATGCCCTCTCGTCCCACCTTCATCCCTCATGCCCTCTCGTCCCACCTTCATCCCTCATGCCCTCTCGTCCCACCTTCATCCCTCATGCCCTCTCGTCCCACCTTCATCCCTCATGCCCTCTCGTCCCACCTTCATCCCTCATGCCCTCTCGTCCCACCTTCATCCCTCATGCCCTCTCGTCCCACCTTCATCCCTCATGCCCTCTCGTCCCACCTTCATCCCTCATGCCCTCTCGTCCCACCTTCATCCCTCATGCCCTCTCGTCCCACCTTCATCCCTCATGCCCTCTCGTCCCACCTTCATCCCTCATGCCCTCTCGTCCCACCTTCATCCCTCATGCCCTCTCGTCCCACCTTCATCCCTCATGCCCTCTCGTCCCACCTTCATCCCTCATGCCCTCTCGTCCCACCTTCATCCCTCATGCCCTCTCGTCCCACCTTCATCCCTCATGCCCTCTCGTCCCACCTTCATCCCTCATGCCCTCTCGTCCCACCTTCATCCCTCATGCCCTCTCGTCCCACCTTCATCCCTCATGCCCTCTCGTCCCACCTTCATCCCTCATGCCCTCTCGTCCCACCTTCATCCCTCATGCCCTCTCGTCCCACCTTCATCCCTCATGCCCTCTCGTCCCACCTTCATCCCTCATGCCCTCTCGTCCCACCTTCATCCCTCATGCCCTCTCGTCCCACCTTCATCCCTCATGCCCTCTCGTCCCACCTTCATCCCTCATGCCCTCTCGTCCCACCTTCATCCCTCATGCCCTCTCGTCCCACCTTCATCCCTCATGCCCTCTCGTCCCACCTTCATCCCTCATGCCCTCTCGTCCCACCTTCATCCCTCATGCCCTCTCGTCCCACCTTCATCCCTCATGCCCTCTCGTCCCACCTTCATCCCTCATGCCCTCTCGTCCCACCTTCATCCCTCATGCCCTCTCGTCCCACCTTCATCCTCATGCCCTCTCGTCCCACCTTCATCCCTCATGCCCTCTCGTCCCACCTTCATCCCTCATGCCCTCTCGTCCCACCTTCATCCCTCATGCCCTCTCGTCCCACCTTCATCCCTCATGCCCTCTCGTCCCACCTTCATCCCTCATGCCCTCTCGTCCCACCTTCATCCCTCATGCCCTCTCGTCCCACCTTCATCCCTCATGCCCTCTCGTCCCACCTTCATCCCTCATGCCCTCTCGTCCCACCTTCATCCCTCATGCCCTCTCGTCCCACCTTCATCCCTCATGCCCTCTCGTCCCACCTTCATCCCTCATGCCCTCTCGTCCCACCTTCATCCCTCATGCCCTCTCGTCCCACCTTCATCCCTCATGCCCTCTCGTCCCACCTTCATCCCTCATGCCCTCTCGTCCCACCTTCATCCCTCATGCCCTCTCGTCCCACCTTCATCCCTCATGCCCTCTCGTCCCACCTTCATCCCTCATGCCCTCTCGTCCCACCTTCATCCCTCATGCCCTCTCGTCCCACCTTCATCCCTCATGCCCTCTCGTCCCACCTTCATCCCTCATGCCCTCTCGTCCCACCTTCATCCCTCATGCCCTCTCGTCCCACCTTCATCCCTCATGCCCTCTCGTCCCACCTTCATCCCTCATGCCCTCTCGTCCCACCTTCATCCCTCATGCCCTCTCGTCCCACCTTCATCCCTCATGCCCTCTCGTCCCACCTTCATCCCTCATGCCCTCTCGTCCCACCTTCATCCCTCATGCCCTCTCGTCCCACCTTCATCCCTCATGCCCTCTCGTCCCACCTTCATCCCTCATGCCCTCTCGTCCCACCTTCATCCCTCATGCCCTCTCGTCCCACCTTCATCCCTCATGCCCTCTCGTCCCACCTTCATCCCTCATGCCCTCTCGTCCCACCTTCATCCCTCATGCCCTCTCGTCCCACCTTCATCCCTCATGCCCTCTCGTCCCACCTTCATCCCTCATGCCCTCTCGTCCCACCTTCATCCCTCATGCCCTCTCGTCCCACCTTCATCCCTCATGCCCTCTCGTCCCACCTTCATCCCTCATGCCCTCTCGTCCCACCTTCATCCCTCATGCCCTCTCGTCCCACCTTCATCCCTCATGCCCTCTCGTCCCACCTTCATCCCTCATGCCCTCTCGTCCCACCTTCATCCCTCATGCCCTCTCGTCCCACCTTCATCCCTCATGCCCTCTCGTCCCACCTTCATCCCTCATGCCCTCTCGTCCCACCTTCATCCCTCATGCCCTCTCGTCCCACCTTCATCCCTCATGCCCTCTCGTCCCACCTTCATCCCTCATGCCCTCTCGTCCCACCTTCATCCCTCATGCCCTCTCGTCCCACCTTCATCCCTCATGCCCTCTCGTCCCACCTTCATCCCTCATGCCCTCTCGTCCCACCTTCATCCCTCATGCCCTCTCGTCCCACCTTCATCCCTCATGCCCTCTCGTCCCACCTTCATCCCTCATGCCCTCTCGTCCCACCTTCATCCCTCATGCCCTCTCGTCCCACCTTCATCCCTCATGCCCTCTCGTCCCACCTTCATCCCTCATGCCCTCTCGTCCCACCTTCATCCCTCATGCCCTCTCGTCCCACCTTCATCCCTCATGCCCTCTCGTCCCACCTTCATCCCTCATGCCCTCTCGTCCCACCTTCATCCCTCATGCCCTCTCGTCCCACCTTCATCCCTCATGCCCTCTCGTCCCACCTTCATCCCTCATGCCCTCTCGTCCCACCTTCATCCCTCATGCCCTCTCGTCCCACCTTCATCCCTCATGCCCTCTCGTCCCACCTTCATCCCTCATGCCCTCTCGTCCCACCTTCATCCCTCATGCCCTCTCGTCCCACCTTCATCCCTCATGCCCTCTCGTCCCACCTTCATCCCTCATGCCCTCTCGTCCCACCTTCATCCCTCATGCCCTCTCGTCCCACCTTCATCCCTCATGCCCTCTCGTCCCACCTTCATCCCTCATGCCCTCTCGTCCCACCTTCATCCCTCATGCCCTCTCGTCCCACCTTCATCCCTCATGCCCTCTCGTCCCACCTTCATCCCTCATGCCCTCTCGTCCCACCTTCATCCCTCATGCCCTCTCGTCCCACCTTCATCCCTCATGCCCTCTCGTCCCACCTTCATCCCTCATGCCCTCTCGTCCCACCTTCATCCCTCATGCCCTCTCGTCCCACCTTCATCCCTCATGCCCTCTCGTCCCACCTTCATCCCTCATGCCCTCTCGTCCCACCTTCATCCCTCATGCCCTCTCGTCCCACCTTCATCCCTCATGCCCTCTCGTCCCACCTTCATCCCTCATGCCCTCTCGTCCCACCTTCATCCCTCATGCCCTCTCGTCCCACCTTCATCCCTCATGCCCTCTCGTCCCACCTTCATCCCTCATGCCCTCTCGTCCCACCTTCATCCCTCATGCCCTCTCGTCCCACCTTCATCCCTCATGCCCTCTCGTCCCACCTTCATCCCTCATGCCCTCTCGTCCCACCTTCATCCCTCATGCCCTCTCGTCCCACCTTCATCCCTCATGCCCTCTCGTCCCACCTTCATCCCTCATGCCCTCTCGTCCCACCTTCATCCCTCATGCCCTCTCGTCCCACCTTCATCCCTCATGCCCTCTCGTCCCACCTTCATCCCTCATGCCCTCTCGTCCCACCTTCATCCCTCATGCCCTCTCGTCCCACCTTCATCCCTCATGCCCTCTCGTCCCACCTTCATCCCTCATGCCCTCTCGTCCCACCTTCATCCCTCATGCCCTCTCGTCCCACCTTCATCCCTCATGCCCTCTCGTCCCACCTTCATCCCTCATGCCCTCTCGTCCCACCTTCATCCCTCATGCCCTCTCGTCCCACCTTCATCCCTCATGCCCTCTCGTCCCACCTTCATCCCTCATGCCCTCTCGTCCCACCTTCATCCCTCATGCCCTCTCGTCCCACCTTCATCCCTCATGCCCTCTCGTCCCACCTTCATCCCTCATGCCCTCTCGTCCCACCTTCATCCCTCATGCCCTCTCGTCCCACCTTCATCCCTCATGCCCTCTCGTCCCACCTTCATCCCTCATGCCCTCTCGTCCCACCTTCATCCCTCATGCCCTCTCGTCCCACCTTCATCCCTCATGCCCTCTCGTCCCACCTTCATCCCTCATGCCCTCTCGTCCCACCTTCATCCCTCATGCCCTCTCGTCCCACCTTCATCCCTCATGCCCTCTCGTCCCACCTTCATCCCTCATGCCCTCTCGTCCCACCTTCATCCCTCATGCCCTCTCGTCCCACCTTCATCCCTCATGCCCTCTCGTCCCACCTTCATCCCTCATGCCCTCTCGTCCCACCTTCATCCCTCATGCCCTCTCGTCCCACCTTCATCCCTCATGCCCTCTCGTCCCACCTTCATCCCTCATGCCCTCTCGTCCCACCTTCATCCCTCATGCCCTCTCGTCCCACCTTCATCCCTCATGCCCTCTCGTCCCACCTTCATCCCTCATGCCCTCTCGTCCCACCTTCATCCCTCATGCCCTCTCGTCCCACCTTCATCCCTCATGCCCTCTCGTCCCACCTTCATCCCTCATGCCCTCTCGTCCCACCTTCATCCCTCATGCCCTCTCGTCCCACCTTCATCCCTCATGCCCTCTCGTCCCACCTTCATCCCTCATGCCCTCTCGTCCCACCTTCATCCCTCATGCCCTCTCGTCCCACCTTCATCCCTCATGCCCTCTCGTCCCACCTTCATCCCTCATGCCCTCTCGTCCCACCTTCATCCCTCATGCCCTCTCGTCCCACCTTCATCCCTCATGCCCTCTCGTCCCACCTTCATCCCTCATGCCCTCTCGTCCCACCTTCATCCCTCATGCCCTCTCGTCCCACCTTCATCCCTCATGCCCTCTCGTCCCACCTTCATCCCTCATGCCCTCTCGTCCCACCTTCATCCCTCATGCCCTCTCGTCCCACCTTCATCCCTCATGCCCTCTCGTCCCACCTTCATCCCTCATGCCCTCTCGTCCCACCTTCATCCCTCATGCCCTCTCGTCCCACCTTCATCCCTCATGCCCTCTCGTCCCACCTTCATCCCTCATGCCCTCTCGTCCCACCTTCATCCCTCATGCCCTCTCGTCCCACCTTCATCCCTCATGCCCTCTCGTCCCACCTTCATCCCTCATGCCCTCTCGTCCCACCTTCATCCCTCATGCCCTCTCGTCCCACCTTCATCCCTCATGCCCTCTCGTCCCACCTTCATCCCTCATGCCCTCTCGTCCCACCTTCATCCCTCATGCCCTCTCGTCCCACCTTCATCCCTCATGCCCTCTCGTCCCACCTTCATCCCTCATGCCCTCTCGTCCCACCTTCATCCCTCATGCCCTCTCGTCCCACCTTCATCCCTCATGCCCTCTCGTCCCACCTTCATCCCTCATGCCCTCTCGTCCCACCTTCATCCCTCATGCCCTCTCGTCCCACCTTCATCCCTCATGCCCTCTCGTCCCACCTTCATCCCTCATGCCCTCTCGTCCCACCTTCATCCCTCATGCCCTCTCGTCCCACCTTCATCCCTCATGCCCTCTCGTCCCACCTTCATCCCTCATGCCCTCTCGTCCCACCTTCATCCCTCATGCCCTCTCGTCCCACCTTCATCCCTCATGCCCTCTCGTCCCACCTTCATCCCTCATGCCCTCTCGTCCCACCTTCATCCCTCATGCCCTCTCGTCCCACCTTCATCCCTCATGCCCTCTCGTCCCACCTTCATCCCTCATGCCCTCTCGTCCCACCTTCATCCCTCATGCCCTCTCGTCCCACCTTCATCCCTCATGCCCTCTCGTCCCACCTTCATCCCTCATGCCCTCTCGTCCCACCTTCATCCCTCATGCCCTCTCGTCCCACCTTCATCCCTCATGCCCTCTCGTCCCACCTTCATCCCTCATGCCCTCTCGTCCCACCTTCATCCCTCATGCCCTCTCGTCCCACCTTCATCCCTCATGCCCTCTCGTCCCACCTTCATCCCTCATGCCCTCTCGTCCCACCTTCATCCCTCATGCCCTCTCGTCCCACCTTCATCCCTCATGCCCTCTCGTCCCACCTTCATCCCTCATGCCCTCTCGTCCCACCTTCATCCCTCATGCCCTCTCGTCCCACCTTCATCCCTCATGCCCTCTCGTCCCACCTTCATCCCTCATGCCCTCTCGTCCCACCTTCATCCCTCATGCCCTCTCGTCCCACCTTCATCCCTCATGCCCTCTCGTCCCACCTTCATCCCTCATGCCCTCTCGTCCCACCTTCATCCCTCATGCCCTCTCGTCCCACCTTCATCCCTCATGCCCTCTCGTCCCACCTTCATCCCTCATGCCCTCTCGTCCCACCTTCATCCCTCATGCCCTCTCGTCCCACCTTCATCCCTCATGCCCTCTCGTCCCACCTTCATCCCTCATGCCCTCTCGTCCCACCTTCATCCCTCATGCCCTCTCGTCCCACCTTCATCCCTCATGCCCTCTCGTCCCACCTTCATCCCTCATGCCCTCTCGTCCCACCTTCATCCCTCATGCCCTCTCGTCCCACCTTCATCCCTCATGCCCTCTCGTCCCACCTTCATCCCTCATGCCCTCTCGTCCCACCTTCATCCCTCATGCCCTCTCGTCCCACCTTCATCCCTCATGCCCTCTCGTCCCACCTTCATCCCTCATGCCCTCTCGTCCCACCTTCATCCCTCATGCCCTCTCGTCCCACCTTCATCCCTCATGCCCTCTCGTCCCACCTTCATCCCTCATGCCCTCTCGTCCCACCTTCATCCCTCATGCCCTCTCGTCCCACCTTCATCCCTCATGCCCTCTCGTCCCACCTTCATCCCTCATGCCCTCTCGTCCCACCTTCATCCCTCATGCCCTCTCGTCCCACCTTCATCCCTCATGCCCTCTCGTCCCACCTTCATCCCTCATGCCCTCTCGTCCCACCTTCATCCCTCATGCCCTCTCGTCCCACCTTCATCCCTCATGCCCTCTCGTCCCACCTTCATCCCTCATGCCCTCTCGTCCCACCTTCATCCCTCATGCCCTCTCGTCCCACCTTCATCCCTCATGCCCTCTCGTCCCACCTTCATCCCTCATGCCCTCTCGTCCCACCTTCATCCCTCATGCCCTCTCGTCCCACCTTCATCCCTCATGCCCTCTCGTCCCACCTTCATCCCTCATGCCCTCTCGTCCCACCTTCATCCCTCATGCCCTCTCGTCCCACCTTCATCCCTCATGCCCTCTCGTCCCACCTTCATCCCTCATGCCCTCTCGTCCCACCTTCATCCCTCATGCCCTCTCGTCCCACCTTCATCCCTCATGCCCTCTCGTCCCACCTTCATCCCTCATGCCCTCTCGTCCCACCTTCATCCCTCATGCCCTCTCGTCCCACCTTCATCCCTCATGCCCTCTCGTCCCACCTTCATCCCTCATGCCCTCTCGTCCCACCTTCATCCCTCATGCCCTCTCGTCCCACCTTCATCCCTCATGCCCTCTCGTCCCACCTTCATCCCTCATGCCCTCTCGTCCCACCTTCATCCCTCATGCCCTCTCGTCCCACCTTCATCCCTCATGCCCTCTCGTCCCACCTTCATCCCTCATGCCCTCTCGTCCCACCTTCATCCCTCATGCCCTCTCGTCCCACCTTCATCCCTCATGCCCTCTCGTCCCACCTTCATCCCTCATGCCCTCTCGTCCCACCTTCATCCCTCATGCCCTCTCGTCCCACCTTCATCCCTCATGCCCTCTCGTCCCACCTTCATCCCTCATGCCCTCTCGTCCCACCTTCATCCCTCATGCCCTCTCGTCCCACCTTCATCCCTCATGCCCTCTCGTCCCACCTTCATCCCTCATGCCCTCTCGTCCCACCTTCATCCCTCATGCCCTCTCGTCCCACCTTCATCCCTCATGCCCTCTCGTCCCACCTTCATCCCTCATGCCCTCTCGTCCCACCTTCATCCCTCATGCCCTCTCGTCCCACCTTCATCCCTCATGCCCTCTCGTCCCACCTTCATCCCTCATGCCCTCTCGTCCCACCTTCATCCCTCATGCCCTCTCGTCCCACCTTCATCCCTCATGCCCTCTCGTCCCACCTTCATCCCTCATGCCCTCTCGTCCCACCTTCATCCCTCATGCCCTCTCGTCCCACCTTCATCCCTCATGCCCTCTCGTCCCACCTTCATCCCTCATGCCCTCTCGTCCCACCTTCATCCCTCATGCCCTCTCGTCCCACCTTCATCCCTCATGCCCTCTCGTCCCACCTTCATCCCTCATGCCCTCTCGTCCCACCTTCATCCCTCATGCCCTCTCGTCCCACCTTCATCCCTCATGCCCTCTCGTCCCACCTTCATCCCTCATGCCCTCTCGTCCCACCTTCATCCCTCATGCCCTCTCGTCCCACCTTCATCCCTCATGCCCTCTCGTCCCACCTTCATCCCTCATGCCCTCTCGTCCCACCTTCATCCCTCATGCCCTCTCGTCCCACCTTCATCCCTCATGCCCTCTCGTCCCACCTTCATCCCTCATGCCCTCTCGTCCCACCTTCATCCCTCATGCCCTCTCGTCCCACCTTCATCCCTCATGCCCTCTCGTCCCACCTTCATCCCTCATGCCCTCTCGTCCCACCTTCATCCCTCATGCCCTCTCGTCCCACCTTCATCCCTCATGCCCTCTCGTCCCACCTTCATCCCTCATGCCCTCTCGTCCCACCTTCATCCCTCATGCCCTCTCGTCCCACCTTCATCCCTCATGCCCTCTCGTCCCACCTTCATCCCTCATGCCCTCTCGTCCCACCTTCATCCCTCATGCCCTCTCGTCCCACCTTCATCCCTCATGCCCTCTCGTCCCACCTTCATCCCTCATGCCCTCTCGTCCCACCTTCATCCCTCATGCCCTCTCGTCCCACCTTCATCCCTCATGCCCTCTCGTCCCACCTTCATCCCTCATGCCCTCTCGTCCCACCTTCATCCCTCATGCCCTCTCGTCCCACCTTCATCCCTCATGCCCTCTCGTCCCACCTTCATCCCTCATGCCCTCTCGTCCCACCTTCATCCCTCATGCCCTCTCGTCCCACCTTCATCCCTCATGCCCTCTCGTCCCACCTTCATCCCTCATGCCCTCTCGTCCCACCTTCATCCCTCATGCCCTCTCGTCCCACCTTCATCCCTCATGCCCTCTCGTCCCACCTTCATCCCTCATGCCCTCTCGTCCCACCTTCATCCCTCATGCCCTCTCGTCCCACCTTCATCCCTCATGCCCTCTCGTCCCACCTTCATCCCTCATGCCCTCTCGTCCCACCTTCATCCCTCATGCCCTCTCGTCCCACCTTCATCCCTCATGCCCTCTCGTCCCACCTTCATCCCTCATGCCCTCTCGTCCCACCTTCATCCCTCATGCCCTCTCGTCCCACCTTCATCCCTCATGCCCTCTCGTCCCACCTTCATCCCTCATGCCCTCTCGTCCCACCTTCATCCCTCATGCCCTCTCGTCCCACCTTCATCCCTCATGCCCTCTCGTCCCACCTTCATCCCTCATGCCCTCTCGTCCCACCTTCATCCCTCATGCCCTCTCGTCCCACCTTCATCCCTCATGCCCTCTCGTCCCACCTTCATCCCTCATGCCCTCTCGTCCCACCTTCATCCCTCATGCCCTCTCGTCCCACCTTCATCCCTCATGCCCTCTCGTCCCACCTTCATCCCTCATGCCCTCTCGTCCCACCTTCATCCCTCATGCCCTCTCGTCCCACCTTCATCCCTCATGCCCTCTCGTCCCACCTTCATCCCTCATGCCCTCTCGTCCCACCTTCATCCCTCATGCCCTCTCGTCCCACCTTCATCCCTCATGCCCTCTCGTCCCACCTTCATCCCTCATGCCCTCTCGTCCCACCTTCATCCCTCATGCCCTCTCGTCCCACCTTCATCCCTCATGCCCTCTCGTCCCACCTTCATCCCTCATGCCCTCTCGTCCCACCTTCATCCCTCATGCCCTCTCGTCCCACCTTCATCCCTCATGCCCTCTCGTCCCACCTTCATCCCTCATGCCCTCTCGTCCCACCTTCATCCCTCATGCCCTCTCGTCCCACCTTCATCCCTCATGCCCTCTCGTCCCACCTTCATCCCTCATGCCCTCTCGTCCCACCTTCATCCCTCATGCCCTCTCGTCCCACCTTCATCCCTCATGCCCTCTCGTCCCACCTTCATCCCTCATGCCCTCTCGTCCCACCTTCATCCCTCATGCCCTCTCGTCCCACCTTCATCCCTCATGCCCTCTCGTCCCACCTTCATCCCTCATGCCCTCTCGTCCCACCTTCATCCCTCATGCCCTCTCGTCCCACCTTCATCCCTCATGCCCTCTCGTCCCACCTTCATCCCTCATGCCCTCTCGTCCCACCTTCATCCCTCATGCCCTCTCGTCCCACCTTCATCCCTCATGCCCTCTCGTCCCACCTTCATCCCTCATGCCCTCTCGTCCCACCTTCATCCCTCATGCCCTCTCGTCCCACCTTCATCCCTCATGCCCTCTCGTCCCACCTTCATCCCTCATGCCCTCTCGTCCCACCTTCATCCCTCATGCCCTCTCGTCCCACCTTCATCCCTCATGCCCTCTCGTCCCACCTTCATCCCTCATGCCCTCTCGTCCCACCTTCATCCCTCATGCCCTCTCGTCCCACCTTCATCCCTCATGCCCTCTCGTCCCACCTTCATCCCTCATGCCCTCTCGTCCCACCTTCATCCCTCATGCCCTCTCGTCCCACCTTCATCCCTCATGCCCTCTCGTCCCACCTTCATCCCTCATGCCCTCTCGTCCCACCTTCATCCCTCATGCCCTCTCGTCCCACCTTCATCCCTCATGCCCTCTCGTCCCACCTTCATCCCTCATGCCCTCTCGTCCCACCTTCATCCCTCATGCCCTCTCGTCCCACCTTCATCCCTCATGCCCTCTCGTCCCACCTTCATCCCTCATGCCCTCTCGTCCCACCTTCATCCCTCATGCCCTCTCGTCCCACCTTCATCCCTCATGCCCTCTCGTCCCACCTTCATCCCTCATGCCCTCTCGTCCCACCTTCATCCCTCATGCCCTCTCGTCCCACCTTCATCCCTCATGCCCTCTCGTCCCACCTTCATCCCTCATGCCCTCTCGTCCCACCTTCATCCCTCATGCCCTCTCGTCCCACCTTCATCCCTCATGCCCTCTCGTCCCACCTTCATCCCTCATGCCCTCTCGTCCCACCTTCATCCCTCATGCCCTCTCGTCCCACCTTCATCCCTCATGCCCTCTCGTCCCACCTTCATCCCTCATGCCCTCTCGTCCCACCTTCATCCCTCATGCCCTCTCGTCCCACCTTCATCCCTCATGCCCTCTCGTCCCACCTTCATCCCTCATGCCCTCTCGTCCCACCTTCATCCCTCATGCCCTCTCGTCCCACCTTCATCCCTCATGCCCTCTCGTCCCACCTTCATCCCTCATGCCCTCTCGTCCCACCTTCATCCCTCATGCCCTCTCGTCCCACCTTCATCCCTCATGCCCTCTCGTCCCACCTTCATCCCTCATGCCCTCTCGTCCCACCTTCATCCCTCATGCCCTCTCGTCCCACCTTCATCCCTCATGCCCTCTCGTCCCACCTTCATCCCTCATGCCCTCTCGTCCCACCTTCATCCCTCATGCCCTCTCGTCCCACCTTCATCCCTCATGCCCTCTCGTCCCACCTTCATCCCTCATGCCCTCTCGTCCCACCTTCATCCCTCATGCCCTCTCGTCCCACCTTCATCCCTCATGCCCTCTCGTCCCACCTTCATCCCTCATGCCCTCTCGTCCCACCTTCATCCCTCATGCCCTCTCGTCCCACCTTCATCCCTCATGCCCTCTCGTCCCACCTTCATCCCTCATGCCCTCTCGTCCCACCTTCATCCCTCATGCCCTCTCGTCCCACCTTCATCCCTCATGCCCTCTCGTCCCACCTTCATCCCTCATGCCCTCTCGTCCCACCTTCATCCCTCATGCCCTCTCGTCCCACCTTCATCCCTCATGCCCTCTCGTCCCACCTTCATCCCTCATGCCCTCTCGTCCCACCTTCATCCCTCATGCCCTCTCGTCCCACCTTCATCCCTCATGCCCTCTCGTCCCACCTTCATCCCTCATGCCCTCTCGTCCCACCTTCATCCCTCATGCCCTCTCGTCCCACCTTCATCCCTCATGCCCTCTCGTCCCACCTTCATCCCTCATGCCCTCTCGTCCCACCTTCATCCCTCATGCCCTCTCGTCCCACCTTCATCCCTCATGCCCTCTCGTCCCACCTTCATCCCTCATGCCCTCTCGTCCCACCTTCATCCCTCATGCCCTCTCGTCCCACCTTCATCCCTCATGCCCTCTCGTCCCACCTTCATCCCTCATGCCCTCTCGTCCCACCTTCATCCCTCATGCCCTCTCGTCCCACCTTCATCCCTCATGCCCTCTCGTCCCACCTTCATCCCTCATGCCCTCTCGTCCCACCTTCATCCCTCATGCCCTCTCGTCCCACCTTCATCCCTCATGCCCTCTCGTCCCACCTTCATCCCTCATGCCCTCTCGTCCCACCTTCATCCCTCATGCCCTCTCGTCCCACCTTCATCCCTCATGCCCTCTCGTCCCACCTTCATCCCTCATGCCCTCTCGTCCCACCTTCATCCCTCATGCCCTCTCGTCCCACCTTCATCCCTCATGCCCTCTCGTCCCACCTTCATCCCTCATGCCCTCTCGTCCCACCTTCATCCCTCATGCCCTCTCGTCCCACCTTCATCCCTCATGCCCTCTCGTCCCACCTTCATCCCTCATGCCCTCTCGTCCCACCTTCATCCCTCATGCCCTCTCGTCCCACCTTCATCCCTCATGCCCTCTCGTCCCACCTTCATCCCTCATGCCCTCTCGTCCCACCTTCATCCCTCATGCCCTCTCGTCCCACCTTCATCCCTCATGCCCTCTCGTCCCACCTTCATCCCTCATGCCCTCTCGTCCCACCTTCATCCCTCATGCCCTCTCGTCCCACCTTCATCCCTCATGCCCTCTCGTCCCACCTTCATCCCTCATGCCCTCTCGTCCCACCTTCATCCCTCATGCCCTCTCGTCCCACCTTCATCCCTCATGCCCTCTCGTCCCACCTTCATCCCTCATGCCCTCTCGTCCCACCTTCATCCCTCATGCCCTCTCGTCCCACCTTCATCCCTCATGCCCTCTCGTCCCACCTTCATCCCTCATGCCCTCTCGTCCCACCTTCATCCCTCATGCCCTCTCGTCCCACCTTCATCCCTCATGCCCTCTCGTCCCACCTTCATCCCTCATGCCCTCTCGTCCCACCTTCATCCCTCATGCCCTCTCGTCCCACCTCCTCACCTGCCCCCCCTTGCGCTGCTTCTCTGCCCGCCGTGCTCGTGCCCGTGCCTGTGTCCGTGCCTGTGTCCGTGCCCGTGTCCGTGCCTGTGTCCGTGCCTGTGTCCGTGCCCGTGTCCGTGCCCGTGCCCGTGCGTGTGCCACCAGGGCCGTGGGGCGAGTGGACTACTGTGAGACGCGCCGCCCCCTCACACCCGCCACGCCCGCCAAGCTGCCCGCTCCCGGCTCTGCTGATGGTGCGCGGGGTGCACAGCAGGGCGGGCGTGGAGGGGGTGGCAGCGAGCAGGGCGGGAGTGCGGTGGCGTGGGTGGCGCGGTGCTTCTTCCCCGGTGGGCGAGTGCAGCAGCACGAGTGGGAGGAGAGCGGTGGGGGGGGAGGGGTGGAGAGGCGGGCAGCAGACGGCAGTGGGAGGGGCTGGGAGGGGCGGGCAGGCAGTGAGGGGCTGGCGTGGGTTCCCAGGCCGTTCCTTGGAGGGGCGGGCGTGGTGGAGGTGGCAGTGCGGCACAGCACGGTGCAGCACTGTTCGTGGGGGGCGATTGAAGGGCGCACAGCTGTGCAGAGGCAGGTGCGCGTGGTGGTGCAGAGGCATGGGCGTGGGCGCGAGGGCAGTGAGGCTGGGGGCGAGGAGGATGGAGACGGCGAGGCCAGCAGCGGCGCATGCAGGCAGGCAGGCAGCAGCAAAGAGGGGGGACGGTGCAGCAACGAGAGGGGCCCAGGCGGGGCGGGCAGGGTTGCAGAGAGGGAGAGGGAGAGGGAGAGGGAGAGGGAGAGGGAGCGGCAGAGGTGTGCGGTGGTGTGGGCCCCGCGACCGTTCCTCTCCGCCCCTGCTGTGCACGTGGTGCCCTGGCAGGCTGTGCACTCAGTGCCGTGCAGCGAGGAGCGAGGGGGAGACACGGACACGGGTGAAGGTGTGGAGCAGGGTGATAGGAAGAGGAGCGATGAGCATGGGACAAAGGAGGACCCACGTGCAAGAGGGGAAGGGCAGAGTGCAGGAGAGACGGGAAGGGAAGGGGGGGAAGGCAATGGTAGGCTGTTGTGGGCGCGAAGGGATTTCCTTTCTAATTGGAGGGGTGTGGTGCCGCAGGGAGGGGGGGGGTCACAAGGGGGGGATGCACAGGGCTGGAAGGCACAGGGAGGGAAGGGTGGGGCGATGCACAGCAGAGAGGACAGAGAGGACAGAGAGGACAGAGAGGACAGAGAGGACAGAGAGGACAGAGAGGACAGAGAGGACAGAGAGGACAGAGAGGACAGAGAGGACGATGCACACTGTGGTGGTGGTGGTGGTGGTGGTGGTGGTGGTGGTGGTGGTGGTGGTGGTGGTGGTGGTGGTGGTGGTGGTGGTGGTGGTGGTGGTGGTGGTGGTGGTGGTGGTGGTGGTGGTGGTGGTGGTGGTGGTGGTGGTGGTGGTGGTGGTGGTGGTGGCAATGCTGGCTTGATGCGCGGTCCCCACGAGGGCAAGCATGTGCGGCGCACAGGGGAAGCTGAGGAGCAGCGTCTAGGGGCCGTGGGCAAGTGGGAGGGGTGTGATGAGCTTGGCTTCCGCTTGAGAGACAGCGACACGTGGCGCTACTGCCACCAGTGCCGGTGAGAGTGCTGCCACCAGTGCCGGTGAGAGTGCCTTGCTTGGAAAGCAGGGTAAGCATTATTTGGTGTAGCGTGAGTCCCCTTGGTAGCAGTGCCTAAGTTGTGTTGCTGCTGTTGACCATGCGGCAATTGCGTGAAAAGCGAGGTAAGCATGATATGGTATAGCGCGCGAATGAATCCGGGCCCACTGCTCACCGCAACAACAGGTGGGCTCACATCGCATGGACGGACAGACATCAAGAGGTGTGATGAGACATCAAGAGGTGCGATGAGATGGCCTGCAGCAACAGTTTGTAGTCATGGGCTCTCTGTGCTCCTTCCTTCTACCTCCTTCCTTCTACCTCCTTCCTTCTACCTCCTTCCTTCTACCTCCTTCCTTCTACCTCCTTCCTTCTACCTCCTTCCTTCTACCTCCTTCCTTCTACCTCCTTCCTTCTACCTCCTTCCTTCTACTGCCTCCTCCGTTTTATTGCCCCTCTCCATGCTCCTTCCCCCCCATGATCCTTGCGTCTACTGCCTCTCACCATGCTCCTCATAGAGCTGCTGTTTCTCCCCCTTCATTATGTCACTCCTCCATGCTGTTTACTTATACGTCCCCTCACATGTCCCCCTCACATGACCGTCCCTCACATGACCCTCCCTCACACGACCGTCCCTCACATGACCCCCGCGTGTCTCGCACGTGTCAGAGCCATGACAGCAGGGCGCACCACACGCTGTGTGTCGTGCCGGGCTGGGAGGAACCAGATCTGCGCGCCCTGCCTCTTTTCCAGGTGCCCTGCCCTGCTCGCTCTAGGCACTCTGGAACCCTGGAGAGCAATATCGGGTGGGGGAATTCTATTGCAAGCTACCATGCAGTGCCATCATTGCCATGCAGTGCCATCATTGCCATGCAGTGCCATCATTGCCATGCAGTGCCATCATTGCCATGCAGTGCCATCATTGCCATGCAGTGCCATCATTGCCATGCAGTGCCATCATTGCCATGCAGTGCCATCATTGCCATTCAGTGCCATCATTGCCATTCAGTGCCATTCGCGTGTTCCCACTCGTTGCCACAATTGCCACTATAGTCAAGTCTGTCACATATTCCCTCCATTGCCACATTGCCACTACTGTTTGGTTTTGCCTCTGATCGCCACATATCGCCTCGCCAGTGTGGCCACTTGTTCCACTATTGGCACATCATACCACATATCACATATCGACACATACATCCGTAATTGACTAGTTTTGCCCTATTGCATAGTATTGTCACGTATCTCCAGATGTTTATATATGTATCTAGAGATGCCTATACTTATTCACACATAAATGTTGCCATGTTGTTACGTGCACATATTGTCACGCATTGGTGATGTTGCTATGCTATTACCATGTGTTGCCCTGCCACCGCTACACACATACCATCAGGTACCGGGAGAGCATTTTGGACGCACTGGCTGATGCCACGTGGCAGTGCCTGGTTTGCCGAGGCATGTGCAGTTGCAGCTTGTGCAGGGCAAAGGAGGGGTAGGAGGCAACGAGCTCCATGTAGAGCCACAGCAACCACCCTGCTCTGAGGCATGGGTTTTGAGCTTGTGCCTGGATGGACAAGCAATCGCCCTTGCCCTGCCCTCATGCTCATCCTTGACTCACTGCCTCTTACATGCACTCGCCTCTGCACCTTGACTCACTGCCTCTCACATGCACTCGCCTCTGCACCTTGACTCACTGCCTCTCACATGCACTCGCCTCTGCACCTTGACTCACTGCCTCTCACATGCACTCGCCTCTGCACCTTGACTCACTGCCTCTCACATGCACTCGCCTCTGCACCTTTACTCACTGCCTCTCACATGCACTCGCCTCTGCTCATGCATAGCATTGCCCGTGACCTGCCATTCAGATGGATGCCGTCACTCGCTCTGCAGGCCACACAGGCAACCTCCCCCTCACTGGTGCATCTTCGGCTCCACACATTGCCTTTTCCCTCTATGTTATCATGTCATCAGGCAGGGGCTGTTAATAACCATGGAGGGAGGAACCGAGGCTAGGGTAGAAGCGAGAATGTAGAGAGAAGGGGTTTCAATAACAGGAGTGCAAACAAGTTATAGAAGGGAAAAGTGGTAAAGGGGGTACACCACCAATAGAACCTAAATGATACAGAAATATAATTTCATAGCTGTTGGAAACAAGTAATTCCTAAAGCGCCTCTGTCGTGTCGAAACATCACACCAGAAGCGAAGCGAGTCATATCGAGGCACGAGCGAGTCAACCCTCGGAGGTTGAAAGAGGTTGCCGGAGGTTACGCGAAAGTCAAAGGTCAGCGACCTTTGACCTGACAAGTACAGTACGACAGCAAGGACACACAACCGACTCGTTACAGAGCGGTTGCCCGAGTCGTCACTGTATCGAACCGCAACAGCAACAGTAAAGCAGTTGCAACCGTATCTTTTCATATTCCTTGTACTCATACATAAAAGCCTGTATCCCTTTGCTTTAATTAACTTACTTTGCTCTCACACACTAGTGCAAGGTGGTTCACAAGTCTTCATTAAACGCTTCCGCTATTACAATAGTCCTACCCCGAATTTACCCCTGCAAAGATCCTAAGGGCTATCTCAGCCCAACATGGTATGAGAGCTATCAGGGGAAATTCAACTACCACCAAGACACCAACAGACGACATGGCAACATACAAGGAAAGGAGTTCCTCCAATGGTTCTCCCGGGACTACTCCTACCCCACCTCCTGCCTCTGGCCTGCAGACAGAGGAAGGAACTGCAACGGGACCAGCAGCGCCTTCAGCCAGCCAGCCTGCCAGCTTCGACCAGAGTATGATGGAGAAATTCTTCTCCTTCATGTCGTTTTACGAGCAACACCAGCAGTCGGCACCTGCGCAGTCAAACAACAGCAACAACAACAACGTGACTCCAATGAGTCTTGATGGTTCATCATATGCGCGCGGGAATCAGCAACAACCTACCTTTGCTCCGTATGAACGCGGGTCCATCAGCTTCATGCCGCAAGCTCCATCTGGACAAGAAAGACAACTGGATGCACTACAAGTACAGTCGCAATTCGCGCACGTCTTAAAGCTGCAGACGTCAAGGCCCTTCGACGGAAAAGACTTCTTTACCTGGTCTTTCGAATTCGAGCTGATGATGGAAGGCGCGCAGATACTTGGCTTCTTCGACGGGTCTGTGCCATACCCAACAAACGGCACACAGTATGAGAAGCAGCAGTACACATATCAGTCGATGATGGCGTATACGATCCTACTGAGAAACATCACCCCGACTAAGCAGCAGAACATACGGTCTTACCGGGGATTCGGCAACTCCGCAAAACTCGCGTACAAGCACCTCAAGGACCTGTATCAAGCAACAGACAGCGTCAGTCAAAGTCGGCTAATGGCGCAACTGACAACAGCTGAAATGAAACCAGGCGAAAAGGGGATGGCATATGTCAGCCGATGTCGCGAACTGCGCGACAAGCTTCTTCGATGCGGAGGGTCAATCTCTGAAGACGCCTTCGTGACAGTCATCATCGGCGGCCTCGGTCCTCAATGGCGTGCAACCAAAGCCATTCTCCGAGCCCACGGAAGAATCTCCGAAGCAGCGCTCTGCGCCGAAATACATGCTGAGCAGCAAGACATGGACCTGCAAGAAGAACGACACAAGAGAAAGACATCAGTACCGGAATTCGCGTTTCACACTCAGCGACGATACAACAACAACAACAACCGACAACAACCAAAACCCGTACCTCCGTTCTGCCACATCTGCAAGACGTCTGGGCACCCACGCACGCACTGCCCAAATCGACAACAGCCAACGCCACAACAGCGACAGCTTCGACCCTCAAGCAGCCAAGTTGCCTCAACACAAGCGAACTCCACGACCCAAATTCAAGCCTCAACACCGCCTGCGGGACAACCTGCGCAAGGAACAAGAAACATCGTCAGTTGTATGGCAAAACTGACCGACTCCTGCATCACCGAGTCACCACCTCATTACTCACCGGAAGAACAGCTTGACAACAGCACGCCCCGCCGCGAGTTACTGCAGCCGAACCCGACGTACGCCGCTATCGCCCAGAGTGAACCATCCGGGAAGGACACATGGTTCTTGGACAGTTGCTGCGGACAGCACATGTGCTCTTCAGGACGCTTCGTACAACGAGAGTATCAACTTCAACGAGAAGTAGTCATCACCGTCGCCAACAACCAGAACCTGCGCACACGACGACAAGGAGTGGTACAACTTCAGTCACGAGAAACAAGTGTGATTCTACAAATGACCAAGGTCTTAATCGCAGAAGGTCTCGGTTACAACTTACTGAGCGTCAGTCAGTTGATGGCGAAAGGCATTCACCTCGAAGCAGACAACACCACACAGGAGTTCAAGCTGTACCACGGAAAGGGCGGCCTCTACATCGGAAAGGCAATCCTCAAGAACAACGTCTTCGTTCTCGACTTCGTACCAGACCTTGGCACCGCTGACAGCGACGGCATCGTCAGCTTTGCTCCTTGGACACATCCTCCAGATCTTGACCCAGACTTCAGCCCCGGCGGCTTCTGGCACTCACACACCATTCCTGAAACAGAGAGAACAAGGGCGTTAGCAACAATTCAACAAACATCGGCAGCAACAGAGACAACATCGGCAGCAGCAGAGACAACATCAGCAGCAGCAGAGACAACATCAGCAGCAGCAGAGGCAACAACGCCAACAGCAGCAGCAACATCGACACCAATCGCCGGTCCTTCAACGGCACCAATCTCCATCGACGATTCGCCACCGACACCCGCACAACAGTTAAAACCGGCACCACGAGAAGTCCACCGAAGCACCAACGTCACTGCCGGCTTCTACTCCAACTCGGATCTGTATCGACGGTCACCCGGACATCGCGCCACTGAAGGTACCTGGCACGCAAGAATGGGACATCCAAGCAACACAGTGTTAAACAACACGATAAGAGCAGGAGTGCTCGACAAAGACTCACTTCTACTGACCGACGGCAGAGAACTTCAACGAGCCCGTGGAACGTGCTTCACTTGCCCTGAAGCCGACTTACCGCATCAGCCGTTCGTCTCACATCACAATCCAAGCGCACCTGCGTACACACCTCTCGAAAAGGTGTACAGCGACATCTTATACAACCGTGAACCCGGACAAAACGCCTACAGCTACACCATCACCTTCATCGACGCCGCAACTCGATATGTCTGGCACCTAAACCTTCCAAGTCGCGACATGGCTTTCGAAGCCTTTGTCGCCTGGCTTCCAGTCGCAGAACGAGAATCGGGAGCTAAGCTAAAAAGCTTTCAGTCAGACGGGGGAGGAGAATACACCTCACAGAGGTTCAAGCAATACTTGGCGAAAAGAGGGATCAAGAGGCTCATCTCCCTTCCGTACGCTCACCAACAGCAAGGCGTAGCAGAAAGGATGAACAGGACGCTCCAAGCCACCATGCGCAAGCTGCTACGTGGCATGCACCTGCCCAACCACCAGTGGCCCGAAGCGATGGACCACGCCGTCATGCTGCACAACTTGCTTTCGTCATCATCGCTCCCGAACAACGCATCACCGCATCTGCTGTGGACAGGAAAACTGGGCAGCACAAAAATGTTGAGAGTCTTCGGCTGCATGGTACAGTACCGACCTCCATCTGCACGAGCTGGGCGATTCTCTCAACGCGCACAATGGGGACTACACCTGGGCATCGCAAAACATTACAACGCGTGGAAAATCTTCGACATCAACAGCAAGGAAACAGTAGCAGCACGTGATGTCATTTTCTACGAACACCTCACCCTCGGAACTCAGCTGATGTACATCGAAGAAAACAGACCTGTACATCGAAGAGTACAGGAGTAACAGGCTCCGCGGCTAAGACGAGCAGCAGGAGCAACGGACCCACAGGCGACGGCGCAACCGGCTCTCTGAGCTACCGGGAGTGAGTGCCCCGGAGTACAGGCGCTGCGTACGACACGACGGCAACCTCCCCTCAACCTCCCCCAACAGTCCCACACCCCTCGACACACACCCGCTGCTACACCGCTAGCTCCACTCCCCCTTCACCCCCCCTTAGTACCACTCCGACGGCTCCAACAGGTCCACCCCCCTCAGCGGCAGCTGCAGCACAGGGAGACGGAGGAGGAGGAGGAGCAGGGAACGGCACACAGAAGCTGCACCCCCATACCCCCCAACCCCAAACCCTAATCCAGGAGAACGGGCAGAAGGAGGGGTGGGGCGCCTTCAGAAGCACGGGGGACAGCGGGGAGGACAGGGGAAGCGAAGAACGGGCCGCCCACGGGCCTGGCACCGCCTCCCGAACCGCGCGCAGGCGGTCCGAGCCGCGCGCGGGCCTGGCGCAGCCCGTACGGGCCGCGCGCGTGCCTGGCGCAGCCCGTACGGGCCGCGCGCGGGTCTGGCGCAGCCCGTACGGGCCGCGCGCGGGCCTGGCGCAGCCCGTACGGGCCGCGCGCAGGCCTGGCGCAGCCCGTACGGGCCGCGTGCCGGGTGT